CTTGTCTCCTGGGTCTGATGAGCACATGCCTGGAAGACAGGGCAGCGAGTGGGAGAACCAGAAGACTTTCCCAGGAAAGTTCACCAGGGGTCAGGTGGCTGCTGGCTGGCCTGAACCCCGGCTGATGGAAATGCTGAGTGAGACGGAAAAACGTCTCGAGCAGAGAGGAAGGAGCTGAGCGAGCCTTGGAGACACATAAGGTGCGCTTATGAGGTGGGGGGAGTGGAAGAAAGCACAAGAGCCTGTGAAAGAGCCCACAGTCTACCTAAAAATGCCACGGAGGCCGAGCCAGCTCCAGATTGGTGGGAAGCGTGCAAGGACCAGACGGAGGAGCCGTGCCTCTGTGAGGGCAGCCCATAATACCTGCAAGGCTGGTGTGTAAATCACTCACATGGCTGGCAGGTTGCAGGAGACATTACTCTCTAAGGAAAATCGTTTCCTGACCTACTGGTTCATCTATTTCAGGGTGTTGTTTTTGGAATAATTGCAGGCATGTAACTTGCAAAAGCATCATTTGAATATTTTTCTTGAGGCCTGCTGAAAACCAGAGCCTTGCAATTCCCTTTTCCTGCTAAGGTTTGCCCGGCCTGGTCACTAAAGCCCAGAGGAACATTCTTGAGAATTCCTTTTCTTAGCTCAGTGGGCCATTGTAAATCCAGGGTGATATTTTTCCTCACAGGTGGACATATTCATTTTTGGGTTGTTGTTAGGTCACACAGAGTCCTGGGAAATGGCCTATTGTTCAGAGTTGGAAGGCAAAGGCGCATAAGGAATGACATTCTTATTAGAGGTTTGATGAATGAAATGCAATAATGAAGTTTCTTTTGTTCTCGCCTCTGGGGCCCACAATTGTTAATCTATAACTTGCTATATGGATTCAAACTTATTAATCATTTTAAAGCAAAATTCTCTGTAATGACTGAGATGGAAAATGAGGCTTTGATGAAATAAAATGTCAGTCTGCCTGATTTTCCTCCCCAGTGACGCAAAGTGGCAGATTCTCAAATCCAACCCCCACCCCCCACCAGAGGGGGGCTTGGGGGAGCCAACATGGGCAAAATGAGGGTAGGTTGGGAAATTCACAGGTGAGGCTGTCATCTCTGCCCCATGCACAGGTGTGAACAAGGCCCGTGGCTCCAAGTGGGACCTTTGGTTTCACCATATTGGTGTCAACGGCTGCTTCCTGGGAAGGCAGGCCCTTCTCTTCCCATTCCAGTTTATGGCCTGAATTAGGAAGTTGTGCTGGAAAGAATTCAGCCTTTCTGGCCAGAGCTCATCATGGGAATTCTAATTTCCTATACCTAAACTGCTTCCGGGGTGGCTCAGATGGTAAAGAATCTGCCTGCCAATGCAGAAGACCCGGGTTTGAGTCCCTGGGTCAGGAAGATTTCCAGAAGGAAATGGCAACCCACTCCAGTATCCTTGCCTGGAGAACTCCATGGACAGAGGAACCTAGCAAGCATGGGGTTGCAAAGAGTTAGACATGACTGAGCAACTAACACACACATACCTAAACAGCACTTTAAGATTTGTAGACTATGTTTTACAACCAGGCCCAGTTTGACTTCACAGCATTCTTGGGAGGCAAACAGAACTAGGTTGATTATCCCCATTAGACAGGTGAGCAAACTGAGGAAGCGCGTGACAACATGACTCGGCCAGATCACTGAGCGACTACTCAAACCCGGGGCTCCTGACCTGCAGCCCAGCTGCCGTCTGTGTCACACTGCACCACCACGGGCCCATCCAGGGGCTCCAGACATCAAGGCAGGACATCCAGGGGTTCAGGCTCCTATTAAGGAAAGGGGTTCTACTTCTCTTTCCAATAGGAGGGTGCAGTGAGAAAGTTTAAGCCCAGATGACTTGTGGAAGGATATGATTCTTCGGTTTTTTAATCTATCCCCCAGTAGAACGTGAAGCCCTTGAAATCAGGGAGGTTGGTCTCTTTTGTTCAGTCTTGTTTTCTCAGTACCTAGAAGAGTGCCTGGCACACAGTAGGTGCTCAATATGTATTTGATAAGTGAATTCGTGGGTAGGAAATGAATGAGGCAATCTACCTCTGAACCTAGGGTCCCCTTCTCTAGGCACCACCCCGTATCCATCCCCTGGGCCCGCCAGACTCTCCCTGACACTTTCTTCTCTGAAAGCATGACATTGGAAGTCACATGGAGTCGTTGCCACAACACTCTGGTTGACATTATCACAAGGTCCACTCGGGATAAAGAGAAAAGGCAGAGGTTCCACCTTGATGTAACAAGGGTGTGGAGAATGGGAGAAATTGTGGATATTCTGGACGGTGCAGACCGCCAGCCTCACAGATCCTGAGGTGGAGGACAGACCTGATGCTGTTCCTTCCTTCTTCCCTTCCTTGCTTCCTCTCTCGTGTCTGCCCTGTTCTCTGAAACACGTTGCAGCTGCCAGGTCAGCCCCTGCACTGGGAACCCTGGAGATCCTGGTTCCATGGTTATCAGGTCAGAATCAGGTAGACCCTGCCTACCTGATATGATCACTGTAATGAACAGGGGGTGGCAGAACAAACAGAATATTCAGAGTCTGACAAGTGAGGGTGTGAATCCCGGTTCCTCCTTCCTAGCTCTCTGCCCTGAAGACAACAACAATAATAATATTGAAATAGTTTTTGTTACTGCCTTTTGAGTACTTGTCAGCATCAGTTTCTGACTGAAGCTCTTCCTGTTTATTTTCCTACTTAACCATCACAACCATCCAATATCCAAGAGGTGGGTATCAATATGCCATTTTTGTAGATTAGGAAAACTGAGGCTCAGAGAGGTTAAGTCATTTGTCTAAGGTCACAGAGGTAAGTAGAAGAATTGAACCTGGAAACAAGCCCATCAGTCTTAAAGTCTGAGCTGTTATTCCTCTTTCCTGTTTACTAAGACCACAAAACAGCCCCAGCCTCATCACCAGGACGAGTCGGGCTCCTCATGTGAACCATACAGGCTCGCGCTGAGCGCGATCTTAGGGAGGTGGCCTGGAAAGGTGTCCCGGCAGAAGTTGGTTGGGGCGGCCTGGCCCTCTGCCTAATACGAAGGGGAGACCACGGCAGCAATGGCTTCAGGTTCCTTAGAACCAGGACCCCACAGCCTTCGCAACAGGCAGTTTCCAGATGTTTCGCCAGCTCTCTGCTGCCTGCCCCCTGTCCCTTCCCTCCCTCTCCTCCCCCAGCCTCTAACCCTCTGTCCTCTGGGTTTCCCAAACCTGCAGGGCTTGCAGCCTCCTCACTGCTCCCGCCAGCTGAAGAAACAGCCCTGGAAAGGCGACGGTTTTAAAGGGGAAGTGCCGTGTTGAGAGAGGCGTATCTGGGAGGTCCCTGACGCCAAGTCAGAATAACAAGTCTGATGTTTCTTTTGGTTTTCTTGACTTTTCCTTCTTCTTCAGAGCTGGTGAAATAAGGAAACAAGCAGGATCCCTTATAGGTGTGAGTGTGTGTGCATGTGTGTGTGTGTGTGCGTGCACACGTTTATGTGTGTGTGTTGGAGATGTGGCATCCTTTGTGACAGGGTGAGCCTGAGTTTTGCCTGAGTCCTAGAGTGGGTGGTGCTGGGAAATTCTAACTGGTGACTTCCAAGTCTCCAGCACTGATCCCCTCCCTGCCATCAGAATCCAAATCCTTCCTCAGAAGCCTCCAATGGCTTCCCACCTTCACCATTGTAACTCCTAAACTCCTTGCCATGACTAACCAAGGGTTCAGAGTTCTCCATCCACCCCTCCAACCTGGGTAAACCTCTTCCCCCCTCCTCTGCCATCTCAGACATAACGCGTCTCCTCTTTGTCCATCTTCAAACCCTCCAAGCTCATCCCTGCCTCGGAGCTTTTACACTAGAATTCCCTCTGCACCACCCCTCATTACCCAAGCCATCTTTCACACGGCTCCCTCTGCTTTTCTGTCACCTCCTCCACACAGCCCTCCTTGATCACCCTGTCTAAAGTAATCACCCCTCTCCCACCCATTTCTATCTCTTTACCTTTTTTTCTTTTCCTTTATGGCTTTAATTTTTGTCACCACCTGAAATCATGATATTATTATGCTATGTCTGTCTCCCTTTCAACTAGAATCCTTGGGGCAGAGACAGTGTCTGTCTTGTTCACTTTGGTAGGTTTGGTGTCAGGACCATGGCTGGGGCATGATGGGACCTCAATAAATATTTGGTGAGTGAATGAATACATGAATGCATGAAAAGAATAAAAAGCTCTTTGGAGAACGTGGACTAAGGTTGTATAAAAGAATCAAAATCCACTGTAGTCAATTCACCCCTGGAAGTCCCAGGGGAGGGTGGGGATAGGCATGCATCACAGGGGCAACCCTGCTGATGAGGAACGGTGCTGAGCTGGGAGGTTACAGGAGCAGGGGGAGTGGGGGGAGGCTCATCTCTTTCTGACACCATACCCAGTCCTCTTGCTGGGGGAGAACTAAGGGATTAAGGGACTCAACTTTTGCATCCCATCTCGGCAACTTCCTAGCTCTGTGCCAGTAGAACAATTAACCACTCTGAGCCTCAGTTTTTCCATCTGTAAAGTGGTGCTAGCAACAATATAATCCTTGTGAGGATCAAAGAGCAGGTGCATGAAAACTCTTGCACTCAGCATTTTATCAGTTCACAGAGGTGACTACTGTATGTGTGGCCTCTGTCTTCTGGAAAGGGCCCGTCCAACACCCAGGCTCCATGTCCACCTGAGGGTGTGGATTTGTTCATCAGAATACACGTTTATTTCCTTTGATATTTTAGAAATGTCTTAGAACACCTAGGCAGGGACCTGGCTCTGCTCTGTGACCTTGGACCTGTCACTTCAGATGTCCAAGGCTTGCCTTCCACATCAGCACCAACATTAGCAATGAGATTAGCAATGGTCTCTGATCCCTTCACCCTCACACACCTACTAGTCTGCTCTGAGAATAAGATATTTTGTCTTTAATGTCCAAAATTTTGTGTCTTTCATTGGATCTTAATTATAGATTTATTTTCATGAACTATCGACTATTATATACATTTTTCCATAAGTAAGTATATCCACTTATAGAATTCCATATATTTCTCTCCAAGGAGACAATGAAGTTTACTGTAGTTGAAGACTCTGGGTTTAGACAGCATCAAGTCCTGGTCATGCCATCTTCTGGGTGTGATCCCAGGAAGGTGTGCCTTCTCTCCACCTCTGGTTCCATCATCTTAAAATGACAAAGCAGAAACATCTGCAAGATTTGAAGAGTGACAAAAAGCATATAAAATCACATACCAGTGTTCATAAAAGCATCATTCACAATAGCCAAAGGGTGGAACTAACCTAAGTGTCCATCAACAGATAAATGGATAAACAAAATGTGATCTCTTCATAAAATGGAATATTATTCAGTCTTAAGGAGGGAAAATTTGACACATACCAGGACATGGATGAACTTTGAAAATGCAATGCTAAATGAAAAAAGCCAGATTCCAAAGTGCAGACACTGTATGGTTCTACTTATATGAGGTATCAGATTAGTCAAATTCACAAAGACAGAAAGTAGAATGGTGGTTTCCAGAGGCTGGAGAAGGGGGAATGGAAATTACTGTTTAATGGGTACAGAGGTTCAGTTTTGAAAGTAAGAAAAGTTCTGGAAATGCGTTGGGGGTGACGGTTGTACACCTATGCAAATAGATTTAATGTCACTGAACTGCACACAAAAATACAAACAGTTCAAGTGTATCTATGTATGTATGAAAAATATTTGTTAAGGCTATGCATTTGAGCTATGTATATTTTACCACAATGAAAAAAAATTTTTTTTTTAAATATAAAGTACTTACCACAGTGCCTGGCATAATAGATTTTAAAAGAGCTAAAATAAGATCACATTTCAGGGACAGGTGATGTTACTGTGCTTTATAACCTGTAATGTGCCATCAAAATATACAGTGTTCCCACTACACTTTACCTGCAACGTATATGTGCACACAAGCTCAGTCGTGTCCAACTCTTTGTGGCCCTATGCATGCTAGCCCACCATGCTCCTCTGTCCATGGACTTTTCCAGGCAGGGATACTGGAGCGGGTTGCCATCAAACCCGTGTCTCTTACACATCTCCTGCATTGGCAAATGGGTTCTTCACTGCTAGCGCCACCTGAGTGGAATTGACCCAATGACACAGTCATTCCTAGCGATTATCTCTTTCCCATCAGCTCCCCTCACAGCCTGTGGATCTCTCTGCTGATGGACTGTGGGTGCCTCTGTAAACTCATGTAGATGAGCATTTGGGCAACTCAGTAACTACAGAAAACCAGGAACAGATCACACTCTAATTTGCTGGTCTGGTGGTCTGATGTGTGCCTTGTTGGAGGTTGTGTTGCAAAGCAAGATTCAGCAGTGTGAGGTTTGGCGGGCTTGGGAGAAGGGAGTTTGCAGAGGGTGAGTCATCTGGGGTCCCCAGCCCACCGCCTCAGTCCTTGGCATCTTCTCCATTACTACTGTACATCCCCAGTCTCAAGTTGTGATCCCAATGTCCATGTCCAACCAGGAGGAGAAAGAGGCCTGGGCTCTTTGACCAGCTTGGAGAAGACAGGAAGTTCTCTTATTCTTAAATGACTCCATCCTCACTTGCGGTGGAAGGATGCTGCCAAATCCACGCTGTCATGGGGCACTCAGGCTCAGGGAGTGTCACCAGAGTTTAAGATTCTTCCTTCTTGTCTTCTCAGGCAGAAGTTAGGGCTGGGGGCCAGGAGGCCTGAGTTCTAGCTCTGCCACCAATGTCCCTGGAGACTAGTAGAGAAACCCATCACACTTTCCTGCACCCTAGTCTCGCTCACTGTAAAAGTGGGATTTCAAAGTTCAGGTGCTTCTCCAGGCGTGGATGACCAGGAGGCCGGCCTGGGGGACGAGAAAGTGTTAGTCATGATTCTGGCTTTGGAATGAGAGTTGGGGTGATCCTGGAGGCAGGTGATCTGATTTTGAGATCCCAGGTCTGCCATGTGCTGACAGTCATAAAAACTCCTGCCTGCTTCATGGTGTTACCATGAAAGTTAGCAAAGTTGGTTTCAGCGAAGTCACCAGTATGATAGAGGTGCATCGTCAACAATAGGCAAGAGCACCATGTCCACCCTCCCCGTACAGCGGGTAGGATCACTGCGGCTTTCGACAGAGGCCTTGCCTGATCAGACAGCCAGAATATGTATGGCTCTGGGATGTGGCCAAGTGAGGGCCCAGGTGCAATGAGTTGGTTAGGATCTGGTGAGAAACAGATTGTGAAATAATGATCAACACAGAAGCTGTCTGGGCATATTCTAAATGGTTCTTACTTCCTTTCGTTAAGTCCCATGATGGGAATATAGAAATCAAGTTAGTTAAGTTAGGAGGGAATGTGGAGCATGGGGGGAGAAAATGGATTTTGATGTCACACTTTTTTTTTTAATTTTTATTTTATTGGAGTATAATCCCTTTACAATGTTGTGTTAGTTTCTGATGTACAACAAAATACCAGACCACCTGACCTGCCTCTTGAGAAACCTGTATGCAGGTCAGGAAGCAACAGTTAGAACTGGACATGGAACAACAGACTGGTTCCAAATAGGAAAAGGAGTACGTCAAGGCTGTATATTGTCACCCTGCTTATTTAACTTATATGCAGAGTACATCATGAGAAACGCTGNGAAAAGACCCTGATGCTGGGAAAGATTGAGGGCAGGAGGAGAAGGGGACGACAGAGGATGAGATGGTTGGATGGCATCACCGACTCGATGGACATGGGTTTGGGTGGACTCCGGGAATTGGTGAAGGACAGGGAGGCCTGGTGTGCTGCGGTTCATGGGGACGCAATGAGTCGGACACGACTGAGTGACTGAACTGAACTGATACATACATATGTATATATATACTCCTCCCTCTTCAGCCTCCCTCCCTCCCTCCCACCCTCTAGGTCGTCACAGAGTACCAAGCTGAGTTGCCTGTGCAATAGAGCAGCCTCCCCAGTGCCTGCCTATTCTCTGCTCAGTAGTGTATATATGTCAGTGCTACTCTCCCAACGCATCCCACCCTCTCCTTCGCCCTGTGTCCACACGTCTCTTCTCTACGTCTGTGTCTCTATTCCTGCCCTGCAAATAGCTTCATCTGTACCATTTTCTAGATTCCATATACGTGCATTAATATGCAATATTTATTTTTCTCTTTCTGACTTCACTCTGTATGACAGACTCTAGGTCCCTCCACATCACTATGGATGACCCAACCTGATTCTTTGTTATGCTTAAGTAATATTGCATTGCACATATGTACTCTGTCTGATGTCACACAGCCTTGAATTCAGATTGACGCTCTGGCTGTGCAGATGTGTGGCTTTGGGGAATTTGTTTAAACTTTCTGTCTCCGTTTCTGTATCTATAAAGCATGGGTAACAATCCTTGCCTTTTCAAGGTTCTTATGAGCATTCAGTGAGATGAGGTAAGTAAATTACACAGCCCCTTTGTCTTAAGTGGAATATGGTTAAAACATTATGCTGCTCCTGTGTAGAGTGGCACAATCTATTTCTCCACTTCTCAACAGGGGCTGGCTTTGTGACTGGTTTTGGCCAATAAAACATGATAAAAGTGATGTCATACAACTTTGGAAGGGAGGCCTTAAGAGGCCTTGTGTCTTCTACCATAGTCCTCTTGGAATGCCGCCCCTGAGACCACCAAGTGAGGAAGCTGGTCTAGCCTCCTGGAGGGTAAGAGGATGCACAGAGGAATGAGGCCCAGCACAGATGCTAGACATGAATGAGGCCATCTTGGGATCTTGCAGACTAGTGAACCTCCCAGCTGAAATGAGTACAGTTGCCTTGCCTACTTACAGAAGTGTGAGAAGTAATAAGTCCTTGTTGCTTTCAGTCATCGAGTGTTGGACTGGTTTGTTCCGTAGCAAGACTGCCTGAAATAGTCCACCACACAGACTAGTTGAATTGGATAAAGATGAAAAATTTTTGGAATATACAGCATGTGCTTTTAAGCACAAGCTCCTATTATTATTATTGTTTTTGTAGCTATTCATACTGACTTGTTGTTTAGTTGCTAAGCAGTGTCAAACTCTTTTGCAGCCCCATGGAATATAGACTGCCAGGCTCCTCTGTCCATGGGATTCTTCAGGCAAGAATACTAGAATGGGTTGTCATTTCCCCCTCTAGGGGAATCTTCTCGATCCGGGAATTGAACCCACGCCTCCTGCATCTCCTGCATTGACAAGCAGATTCTCTACCATTGAGCTACCTGACAAACCCATATTCATACTGATTGGCTATAATAATAATGTAATATAACATAACACAATATAATCGTCATGGTAGGTTGATGACTTCTCACTTCCTGTCTCCGGGAGAAGACCACAGTCTGTTGGAACAGGCTTCGACAGGCTCAAACAAGCCGCAACCTCCTCTACAGATGAATGTTTTAATTCGCTCTATCTTCTCACGTCTGTTAATAGCTCCACATTGCCTTGCTTGGCCACCTGGGATGGTGCCACGGCTCCTATTAATCTCGCCATACGTGGCAGCATTGCACTCAAGTGCCACGCTCTCCGCTGCCTGTGTGAGGCACGGAACCTATTTTTAGTGTTTTACATCTATAATTATGTATGTTTCACTGCCTCTCAAATGCATATTTGCTCTGGGGAGAGGTTATGGTTATATAATCTCAGTTATTTTTGATAGGGCCAAATGTGTTAGACCGATCTGCTACGTCTCATTCAGCCAAAGAAAACTGTCCAACTGTTTCTTCCTCAGACTCCCATGGAAGTAAGGGTGAAATTAAAAATATTTAAGTACTGGTTGAGCATGGGTACTGACAAATCAGAATGCAACCAGTTGTTGCATCATTTGGTGTTCATGGAGCCTATTAGCTCTGCCCTCAGGCTTCCCAGGCGGCTGGCTCAATGATAAAGAATCTCCCCATCAGTACAGGAGATGTGGGTTTGATCCCTGGGTTGGGAAGATCACTGGGAGGAGGAAATGGCTCCTCCTGGGAAGGAACTTCCCAGGCAAGAACACTCCAGTATTCTTGCCTGGGAAATCCCAAGGACAAGGGAGCCTGGTGGGCTACAGCCCCTGGAATCTCAAAGAGTTGGACAGGACTGAGCGACTAAACAATAGCAAAGCCCTGCTCTTAAGGGACTATTTAGTTTAAGAATCAATTTGTGATTTTTTTAGAAATTAAAATTCTCTTCAAGGAAACTTATCAGCTGGGAAGTGGGGCT